GTTTGACCAGACTTGTCGAAGGCCACAAGTCAACAATTGTGTTCTGTTAGCTCCCAAAAATACTTTTTGTTTCCACATTCATATATATATATGTTTTTTTGCATGTAATATATCCCTGGACTCTTTTATATTACTGTTATTTGAGCATCTCATGCTTTCAATAGATAGTGCAAGTAGAGAGATGACAGAAAATGAGAGAAAGAGAGATTAAACAAAGGTCCCCAGCTGGACTCTAAACCCCATCCTTGGACTCCATTGCTTGAATTTTTAATTCCCACATCAGGTAACTCTAGTTTGAGCATGTCCTTGGCAGTGTACAACAGATTACATCTCCCTGCTTAGTTTTTAAGATGGAATTGAAGTCTGAAAAACAACTGAAAATCCATTGAGCCAGTTGATTAAATAATGGCGTTGCTTGCAACACAATTCAGTCTAGGTGTCTGAGATTAAAGGGTAGGTTCTCATTTCTCGCAGTCTGTTTTAAAATAATGGTCAGGTGAACTTTGAGGGTTATCTTGCTGCAATCACTCCTTCTAATAAGACAAAAATTGTGAACCCATTTTCGAAAAGTGAAGTGTGATTCCAAAATTGTTGAGCATGTTGGCTCAGTGGGCAACATTTTCTCATTTAGTATTAGTTTTAGATAAAGTTTGACTAATTATTTTGGAGGAGGTAAGCCTAAAAGATAAGGCTAGCAATATTCATTATTTTTCTCATTGCCAACAAATCCCATGTGTACATTGAATTCAACAATGAGTGTATCCTGCTTACAAATATTGTGTGTGTATCAAAGCCTGATAGATCTTCTTCCTCTGTGTCATGGAGCTCCATTGTTGTCCAAAAACTTTTTAAAACACATCACTGCGCCACACTGTTGCACTGGGTGACATGTTCCTTTATTACCACGAACACACACACACTGTTTATTTTGACTCAATTCCACATACACCATCCTGCTGCCACAAATACTAACTAGAACGGATGTCTATCAATCCGCTGCTGAATATAGTCCCCGATAAGTGCACTATTTTTTCCTGTTTGAAAATGTTTTCGAAAAAGTGTACCCATCTGTTGCAGTAAAATACCGAGCTTTAAGAATAAAAAAAAAATCAAACTATGTAGTTGCAAGCTGGTTTTGAAGGTTTACGTGTTCAGTGGGAACAGATGGGCCAGGCAGCAGGTTAGTAAAGTATTGATGGGAGTGAGAATAAGAAAAAATAAAGAATGCCAGGCTCATCCGTGAAGGTTGGCACGGGTTAAATCCACACAGTGTTCAGTTTTTTAAGAGATACAGTGTTGAAAAGCAGGCGTGTATTTTTGTACATATGACTATCCTGTGATACAACAGTCTAATCATAGCTTTCACCTCCATTCACTTAAGATGCTATTACTGACATCCCACTGTACAGTAAGTGTGTGCTTGTCCACACGAGTGTATTGTGTCAAGCAAAAACATGCCATATGTCTAAAAGTAGTAGCACCAGTGACAAAAGACACACTGTCAGAAGAGGAAATACCAAAAGCTTTGATTATACGAAAGACACAACATGTACTGTACATAAACCAGGTCTCAATCTGCGTCACACAGAGATATAATTGAAGCTAATTACACAGACTCACATTAAATGTTTGCCACTCTGCATGTCATGATTACCTATTTTCTTTAATTCTTTTTTATTTTGAAAATCAAGGAATAAAATTATACTGAATGACTTAAAAACAATAACATTCTGTATGATGTAATGCGATGCAATGCAATAGCCCTGCAAAACACGCCACATCGCATTACTATTTTAGGTGTGTATTGATGCAGTTCTATACTGTGTTTTGAGGTTGTGGTTTACCTGTGTTGTTTCTAATATTTCTTCTGCTTTGTTTACATTCACAAATAAGCAAAAAAAAAACAAAACAAAAAACAATAATAATAATAATAATAATAATGAAAAAAGGCAATTTAATACCACCAAAAAACGAGACCCTCAAACATTAATTCAGGCCAGACGAAGAGGTTCAGGTCTAACAGCCATGGCAGCAGTGTGTTGGTCAGACACAAAGTGATGCAGCACTTCCCTTTACTGGTTAAATGGCAGGTTATGGGTGAGTGTGTGGTTTACAGGAGAACACATCCATGAACAATAGATAAAAATGAGGCTGTACGATTAACATATTTGCCACTAATAACACCACTAAACAGCATATAACAAGAAAGTTTCAGGTCAGTGTTAGACCATGTGCTCTTTCATTGAAAGCCCAATAAGTTACAACAACCTTAAACAGTCAAATACCTGCATGTTGTCAGGAAACATCTCACACATGCATCTTCTTAGCCTGCGCTCAATGTCACCTTTCTGGAAAACTACAGTGTGCATAATTTCAGGTCAGAGAGTTCCTCAATTTTCAGCTGAAAATCTTAAACATAAGAAAAAAGGAAGTAACAGCACTGAACTGAATCACATCACATCAATCACACACATGCTGTGGAAGTAACATTATATCACTCTGCTCTACAATACTGCAAAAAAATAGCTGTGCAAACATTGTACTCGGAAATTAGGAGTCACTTAGCAGGAGAAAGTGCAAATGTCTCTCACATTTCACTTACAGCTTTTGTTACACCGCACATAAACTGTGACGCTTTAACAACTAAAAACTCTCGATTCAACAAACTTACATTAACTTCGGACAACTTAATGGGCTGCCTGGAGGGCGCTTTGCTCAACCATGTGGTCGTATAATTCTCCACGTGGACGCGAGGACAGAGAGGATATGCACTTACTTTGTTTTCATTCACACACACACGGGTTATCCAAAGGCGTAGAAGCTAATTAAGCTAGTAAACTCCATCCTTGGCAACTTATTACTGCTTTATTTTACCTCCCGTTTTCTCCCCAGCACTTACTTGCTCACCAATTTGCTGCAGCCACACAGGGGAGGGGATACTCTGACCGATGCATATCACACGATCAAGTCCGATTTCTTGGTAGTCTCTTGAACAATTAATATAGAGTTGTATGAACTCCTGACACAGTTGAAAATTTCACAGAGTGCAGGAATGTGTTTCAAAATAAAATATTTTACAGTTTCCTGATCACTCACACAGAAGTAGAGGAAGGATGTGAAAATGACATTTGTATTATCAAACAGTTTTATCTTATTGTTACAGTTCCACCTCTTGTTATTTTATTATTATAATTACAGTGGTGTTATTGAAGTGTTAAGATTTTGGAGGATGGAAATGTGTTTTTGCTTTTCTTAAAAACTTTGGTACAAGTGTTTTAGTTTGACCACTACCAAGCAATATTATAATCTACATTTTTTTCTTCTTTTATAGACAAATAAATGTTTTATCTTTTGTCCAATTAATTATCCTGTTTTGGAAGAATAATTTCCTGGAGGCTGAGGCAACACCATTTACATTTCATCCTTGCCAGTGTCCCTACCATATAAGCCAGCCTGCCCACATGCGAGGGTGCTCTCTCCATAACGCACCAAGCTTTGTACTTTTTGCTTTTGTACGCACTAACGGCACGCCTTACAGTGGTCACTGAACAAATGCACTTTCACGCACCTCTAACTGTGCTTTCTTCTGCACCTTGCTGTTTTCTTTCCCCATTGTTTTCTTTAATAAATATCTTCAGTGCCTCGCATGCACCTCCCCTCGTTATGGCCCATGAGCACATCATAACACACCTTAGAACTGATTCTTGTGAATATATTTCAGGAGCACGCTGATCTCAGTGCTGAATGCAGGTGCTCGAGCAACTCGGCTATTCATCGAAGGCAACACACTGCGAAAGCTTTCTTGTCCGTCTTTTATTTGGCACAAAATTAACAACCACAATAAATTACACGCTGGCTGATTGTTCCCCCAGAATCCTAAGGTTTTAGTCCAGAGTTTTCTCCACAGATTTCAGCTCACGCAGACATATTCACCATTACAACGTGTTTGCTTTTTACTCAGAAAATAAGCACAATTTGTTCCCTATTGATCAGTTAAAAAGGTCTTAATAGTCTTTTGCATTTTGATGCGGCAATTTGACTCACTAAGTGATATTTCTGTCAGGGCTTTTATATGGTCTTTACTCAGTTGACTGTGTCAGTGGAGAATCACCCCCTTTCTGTAAGAACAATACCTCCACGCTGACAAAGCCAACTTTCTTTAGGCAGAAAAATCTTTTGTGTGTGTGTGTGTGTGTGCGTGTGTGTGAAAGTGACTCTAAGGTTAAATATATTGTCTTGAAATTATATAAAGGCACAGCATCAGATAGTACATGGTGTTCACCTCATTTGGTCACCCTGGCTTTCAGAGGCTAAATACACTTATACTTACCGGATTTGTGGTAAGTGGATGACATTGCAATGTTTGTTTTAGCTCCAAAACGCTCCGTCACAATGTGTTTTGCAAGTCTAAGAGGATAAAAATAATTATGAGAAGTCACCAAAGCCAGTGGAAACAACAATCATAATCTTGAGGGCCCCATGGAAGTGTTGTGTGATTGCTCCTGAGTGATGAATTCTCCATAAAGATATCTAAAATCACACTGAATCAGAACATGCAGTCATTTTAGGAGCCACATATACATTTCATATACATGTTGACTGTGTGAACTACTCAAGCTGTATGTTTTAACTACATCAGTTTTACCATCCTATTGTTTTGCTGTGTGCAGACTGTCAGACTGAGAGTGGATAAAAAAAACACCTCATCAACCGGGTGTCTTAGGCTACTATGTCCTCGTGCTGCTCTTGCTTTCTCGCCGTCACCTGTCACAGTCAGGGCATACAGTTCAAAGTCACGGCTGACCCCCCACCACCCCACAACAACCACCCGTACCGATCATTCATGTAGTACACACACACATACACACACAGCCGCTCGCGCACACGCGCACGCCGGCACACCGGTAGAGACGTCAGGATTGGACGCAGCAGGGGATCCCCCAGCATTCCGTTTCTGCCTCGCTTGGCGTATCATCATCTTTTACCGAGAGGAGATGAGCTCGCGCCGGCTCACACTTGCAGAGGGCAGCAGTAACAGAGAACGGTCTTGTTTCTCCGTTTCACCGGAGCGCGCTCTCTCGCTCCTTCTCTCTCCCCTTCACCAGTGTGTGTGCTGCTGCAGTGGCTCTTATTATTATTACAGAAGCTGTCGCTTGCGCCGGGCGGCCGGGACAGCGCGAGGGAAGAGTAGAGAGCAAAGGGGAAAGGTGTTTCACCACCTGAGCGATTTATTTTCGGGAGGAAAAAGGACGCTATGGACGGAAAAACATCCCGGTTCCATTGACTCCGCGTTAGTTTAATTGTAGTTTTGCCGCTGTAGAGACAGAAGAAGCCACCATTTCATCTGTCTTCACAGACCGACACTTCTTTTCACGTGTGCGTTTTTGCTGACAGCCGCGCGCGCCGTGCTGCCTTGGACATAGTATCCTCGAGCCTCTCTGGGTTGGTCTACGCGCCGCGTTGCGTTTCACAAAACTTAAAATTAACAACCAGGCTTCACACTCCGCAGGAAAACAAAGAAACAACACTTTCCGGAGTGAGATAATTGGAAATAAACCGTCTAGAAACGTGAGTAAAGTAGTGAAAGAGGACCGTGCGGCGAATATGGTGCTCTGAATGCGCTTTTTCTAGTTTTCTTTTTTTGCCATTTTCACCATTAACACTGACGTCGAGCAGCTGAACGAGTGGAAGAAGTTTTTTGTTGGAAAAAGTGGAAGAAAAATAACCGGCTACACGACGGTGGTCGTAAACTGGGAGAGGAGGGTCCCCCCACTCTGGGACGAACAGGTAGGACAACCCTCACACACACTAAACATGACTATAAAAAAAGAGGCAAGTCACATATAAGCTAATGAACAACGCCATGTTTATTAGCATATCATTACCTATCTATAAAGCATTACGAGGTTACCTGAACGCAAGTGTCTTATCCACGACAGATGCCATTCTCCCCGTTAAAAATGGCAGGTCATTGTTGCTTTGCATGTCGATACGTATCACTCAAGGAATGTTCTGAGAGCATTAAGATACCACTATCCGCACTTTAAGTCGGCAACAATTAAAATAAAGAAACGCCACTTGTCGAGTACAATTGTAACTTTTCTAATTGGCTCGCTTGTTATCCTCACTGTGTTGTAGTAGACGAGCGGACGAGTCAACAGTGAGAACCTGTTACAAAAGTTGATTTTATTTATTAAAGGCTCATCGCTTCTACACAATTTATATGCCGAATTGAGACCACTTAACTTAACATTTAGGGAATGTATTGAATTTTAATTCACAGTGCACGTAACCATTGCCGTTAAGCCAGAGTTAATTAAATTTACATTATTTTTAATGGCGAACATGGCGTTCTCTACGTAGCGTAGTTGAGCTTTGGTTCGCGGTTAGATATCCTGTTCATTATTGTCAATATTTAGTCGCACATTTAAGAGACTGATACTGAGATATCCTAATAAAAATGAAATTAATTTTGCTGTAGCTTTGTTATGTAAGCGTACATTGAGGGGAATTTAAAGGGCAGATGAGAGGGTCTTGATATGGGAGTGGGCAGAACAAAAGAAAAAGGGGAGAAAAGTTGAGTTATGCAGCTTTGGAAAACGTATGTATATCAAACTCATAACAAAGGGGAACATTTTTCTATTGTATGTGCCTGTTTTCAAGTATTTTCTCAAGTGTTTGCATATGAATATTTCCCAAATTTAAAACCATTTATTATACCAAACCCCAATTTAATTGAATTAGATTCCAGACTGCTATATGGGAAGATATCCAATAGTAATTTTATTAATGAATTTTAGAACTGGAGAGATACTGTAATAGAGGTGAGAGTGAAACCTATTATTATAACCATCATTCTACTGCAGTCTGTAATTGGGGCAATTTCTTGGGAATTAAATAACACTGAAATTAAACTGTTCCTCCTCTAAGTGCTGCTGCACATACTCTGAAAAGCCACTGACTTCTAATATGACGGATTATTACAGTTGTAACAGTTTAACCTCTGTTCTGGTGCTGATTACAAATAGGACCCCACTCTGAAAGAGGAGTGCTGGCATTTAGCCTGTGGTACAGCTTTGAGGAATAAACCCTGTTAGAGGCTTGTGTTGTCTTGTGAGTAGTTGGGAGATGGTGTGTGTGTGTGTGTGTGTGTGTGTGTGTGTGTGTGTGTGTGTGTGTGTGTGTGTGAGTGAGAAAGTCAAAAGCAATGCCAGACTGGTATGAAAAATTGTTAAGAAAGGATCTCAAACTGTAGTAATCCGGCAAGGTAGACACGGAGTGGCTTTCTCTCCCCTCGTACTTGTCTTTATTGTTTCTAGCGGCTCTGCTCAGTTCAGTTAACCCACGTACGTCCTGTAATATCCTTAATTGCCCTCATGTAAAGCGTGCAATATGTGTCTGTACTCTATAGTTTGCACAAATGTGCACACTGTTTTGCATTTTTCTGTCACTTTGTGTGCGAACTTACTCGCTGCTTTGACCTTGTCTGCCAGTGAAGTGACATTTTCACTTGCGTCCCCTTCTTACCTGAGCCTTAAATGAGAGAGCGTATGTCCTTGGTCTTTTCACTGCACTGTGTGACAGGTAGTAAAAATATCTTTGTCTCATTCAATTATTAGGCTTTGGGATTAGTAGATACAATATCGAAGTTAAATTTCATAGAAATTTCTGTATGAACTGGCTTTACAGAAATTGCAGCAGTATTGCTCAGGCATCAGAGCTTCTGTAGTTACTGTACACCAATGTGGCCGTCAGTGGAGCACTGCAAAGGTGAAGGGAGTGTGGATGTGACCTTGAGTAAATTAAAACGGTCTCACCTTTTTTTTTTTAAATTAAAAACGAACTTCATATCAGATATTCACTTTTTTTTTTTTTTTTTTTTAAGCCGGCTATGTCTGCACTGCAAGTGTTGTTGATGAAATGGTGTTGATTAGCGAAAGTAAACACGTTTGTTGAGTTAACAATACATCATTATCATCATCATCATCATTATTACTACAATGCTCATGATGAGAAAGTTGACACAATGGCTTTAGTGGTCCGCTTCTACAGCACTTATAATTGCTTCTTATGCAAAGTGCGGTGTACATATATGCAAAGATTTATTGTAGAGCTATGAGATATGTAAAATTTGATGTTGATACAGTGATATGAGACTGTATGGTACGTTTATCTAGAATGTGTCTATCTAGAATTTTGGCTATATGTAGGGATGGGGGAATATCGATACAGCATAGTATCGTGATATTTTGCGTGTTAATATGGTATTGATATGTACACGCCAAGTACATTTTTAAAAACGATATACTTTAGTAATATTGCAAAAATAAATTAAACTTCTAGCATACTAGAATAACAAAAGCAGTTGCTTTTCCAATTCACTTGATACATTTTGCTGCAAAGAAGTGTGATAAACAGACTAAACGGATAAACAAACTTTATTTTATAGACAAATGGGTGTTAAAAAAAATAAAAAAATCACAATATATTGTGATATATGTTATCGCAGCACTCAGCGTATTGCAGAACATTTAAAATCACAATAATATTGTATCCGGACTTATGTATCGTGATAGTATTGCATTGTGGAGCCACTGGTGATCCCCATGTATGTATGTGTATATTGTCATGCATGTTTTGTCTTTCCCTTTTTTGTGGCTGTATTACAGCAAACTGATTGAATGACAGAATCTTCTGAGCTCATGGTAGTGTTCTTCAGAGAACGCCTACCCATCTTGTCCTCACATCTGAACTACAGCCTCTGCACAACAATGAGGGCACACTGTAGAATCGAGAGAAGCCACATTAGTTGAACGGATATTCAGCGGCCATTTAATACAGAAGCTTGTTTCACTCCGTAGTGCTAACAGTAGTAGTTGTCCAACAATATAGAACAGTCAGGCTGAAGAGGAGGGTGAAATGAACTGTGAGTGGTGTTTGCACATACACTGTAGCACTGTGGAAGTGTACTGTACACCACTGCTGGTTTCACAGATGGCTCAGGCAGCCCCCTCACTGAACATAAGAAGAAGTGAGCAGATTGTAAGTGAAGCACATATTTGGTAATTTTGCTTGAGAAAACATTCTGTGTTTAAAACAATTGTATGTGACAGTTCCAGGTTTAATAGAACAGACGACAGACGGGTAGATGCTAGCATATGTGGTCTGTTTAAAGGAAGGATATAGTAAACAGTACATACCAATTTATATTTTTATATGCGACAGAGTCACTGTGATTTTGGCAAATGTAGAATTATTTTGTGGGAAATATATCTGTTCGCCTGTGGGCATCTTTAGTATACCAACAAAATTGTATACTTTTTTTTTTAATCTGTTTTTTTTATATACTTTTATCTATTGATTCAACCATTTCATGTTAAAACACAAGAAGCTCATTGAATATTGTTTTTGTTCGGACAGAAACATCGTTTAGCCCTCACTGGACACTATAACTCCACTGAAACTGCATTGAGAGTATTTTCCCTGCCCTCTACGCAGCCATCTGTTTCAAATTATTTTCTTACAGTACAAAATAAACTTGCACAGCTGTAAAACTAGATAGGTAGCACGTCTCAGTGAACATCTTGCCCAGTTTTAGTTCAGTTATAGCTAGACTGTTCTTGCACAATTTGTTTTGAATGCTTTGGCTGTGGGAAGTTTTGAATAGACAAAAAAAAAGTCCCCATTTTGAAACTACTGTAATTAGCTTCCTTTTTCCTTTTTTAAAAAAGTAGTAGTAAAATCCACATTATTATTATTTTTTTTCTGCAGAGTTAATCTTTGTTCATCTCAGTTTCACTCTCGAAAAAAAAAAGCAGCATGGATGCTTTGTTTCACAGTCGACTTGAAATGCTGCATGTTAGAGCTTCCCAGTCGTTCTCGAACACATTGTAGACATTTAAAATTAATGCACTGACTTTTTTTCTTTGCTCAATTCTATTTAGCTTACCTGGACAGTCCTCTGTACATGGATTGCATTTTTAGAAATAAATATTGTGATATAACAAATGCACCAGTTAATCAATCACCAGTAAATTGGGGGAAAAAAAATCAAAATCTACACAATAAAGCAAGAGCAACAAGAGAAAGAAACTTTTAAGGGAACTATGGGCTTAAATTGTATGCATCCATTATTTTATGTGCATGCATGTGTGTGTGTGGGTGCTTACATACACACCATGATGATTTGATTAAATTTGCATTTGTTTGATCAGTACAACCAGTCAACCAGCAAGAGACAGACAGTTCAGCAACAACATGGACACAAACATACACACTCACACATACACGCGAGATATTGTGTGTGTGTGTGTGTGTGTGTGTGTGTGTGTGTGTGTGTGCGCGCATGCTTGTATGTGCTTGTGTAAGGACTTAAAAGTATGCTGTGTGTGTATTTCTGTGTGCATAGGTACCTTGTGGGCTTCCTCTAGTGTGTGTGTGTGTGTGTGTGTGTGTGTGTGTGTGTGTGTGTATTTTCAATAATTACCATGAGAGCCCTCAAACTGAAGATTTATCCACATAGTGTGTGTGTATGTGTGTGTATATTGTCCAGGGAGTGCTCAGACTGAAGATCCAGCTGATGAAAGCTACCTGGAGCTTCATAAATGGGCCCTTTGTCCAGCAGCAGCAGAGCCTATGTGTATGTGTGTGTGTGTGTGTGTGTGTGTGTGTGTGTGTGTGTGTGTGTGTGTGTGTGTGTGTGTTGCTAAGCCTAAATCTTTGCTGAAAATCCGGTAGAAACAAAATGTTTTGTCAGGGATGCTGCACCAAATCTGTCAGGCATTTGC